ACGGTTTCAACTTACACAATATCAATTTGTGTTGGCAAATAGACGTAGGTGTATTTTTTTGAATTTGATAATTTATTTCTCATGAGTGAAAGACCCAAGTGCTATACAAATAAAAAAAAATTAATACAGAGACTGAATTTTTTTTTTAAAGCAAAATACTCGTTAAAGTGATTTATAATTCAAAAAATGGCATAACTACATTATTTTAGTTAACAATTAGTATAAAATTTTTATAAGAACAACATTTTTAATATATACAATTACTGGGTAAATTAATTGACCTCTCCTAAAATTAGGAAAAATATAATAAGTTGAGAGAGTAATTTGTAAACAAATTGGGCCGATCTAGGAAAAATCTTCTTTAGAAGTTGGGCCGCGCAATGAGCCGAGATAAGGGCTGGTGTAGCTCGGTCTTAGGCCAAGAAGACATCTCATATTCGGGTTTGAGCCAAACTATGGGCCGAGGTATGGGCTTCGAGTAGCTCGGTCTCATGTTGTATGAACTCCAAGCTAGGCAGAGGTACTTTGGACCGAGCTACCTAAACAAGTGGGCCTGGTGGTTAGCCAGGGTGTTGGTGAGAAAGGAGGTCGGGCTTGGTATAGCTCGGCCAAATGCCATCTACTTCATTACTTAATTGAGTATGTGACCAAGGTAATCTAGCTCGGTTAGGTTGCAACAGCTTAAACAAAGGATGTAACCATCTTACTTGGTTGGTGGAAAGCAGAGTTTTATTATGATAGACATTCTTCATTGAGTAGGAGTGTAAATCCTAGGAGCACTCTGCTAAGGAAAGTAGAATCCTACTAGGATTGTGTAAAACCACCTCACTTGATTGGTAGTGATTAGGGTGTGTGATTCCTAGGAGGACTCTTATAAGAAGAGTTGAAATCCTACTAGAATTGGGCTTAAGCCAAGACTATAAAAACTCATAGCAGGTCCTATGGACAGGTATCACAATCCCAATTTTTATTTTAGAATACACAGGGCTTATTGTCTATTGTCTAGTTGCTGACTTAGGCATCGGAGGGGTTTCTGACACACACCCACCGGTTAGCTCACGTTTGTATTTTCAGGTAGCAAAGCGAAGATGTTTGGAGGAATGCAAACTTGATCAACATGATTATACGATAAGATTATTTCGTACTCGTATAAATCTTATAGTTTTAACAAAATTACATATTATTCGCATAATACTTAGTTTCATTTTCATTAATAATTCATTAATCATCTATATATATATGAAAGAATGATATTATCATCTTTTTTTTACTGAAATTTATATTTTTCTTTATTTATCTTTATGTCTTCACATTATTTATATTAATTTTAATCACTTTAACCTTATTAAAAGAGATGTTAATATTATATCAAAATTATAAATTAAAGAAAAATTATATTTTTTTTCAATATTTGAGAGAAAATCAGTATAAGTTACACAAAATTAATTACACCCACACCCACATTCACATCCGCATCCACATCCACACCCAATTGGGTGTTATAATTGACTAATCACTCTCTTTGAACACAAACACCGTAAGATGGGCCTTTCAACTGGGCTTTCCAAACACACAAATATGTGTGTAATCGAGATATGGCTCTTTCTACTTGGTTACATAATCAATTAAAAATAATATTTTTATATAATTTTTGACTCGACATTGGCATTTTTATAAGTCAGGAATATATCAAATTAAAATTTATCATATCATTTTACATTAATTTTTTTTTGTATAATTTTGTATATATATATATATATATATTTTATAGCACTACTTATTAAAAATTCATATCAACAATATACTAAGAGTTGCCATTTTCTTGAGTTTAGTTATTTGTTTGTGGTATTACTATTCAGGCTTAAAAATCAAACGCATTTTTTAAAACTAATAATGTATCAAAAAGATAATTAATTAATAATTAAATATTTTCTAATTATCAACTTATCAATTTCTTAGCACATCACTAAGTCTATAAAGTGAGTCTAACAAATAAACTTGTAGAATGACCTTAGCCTTCATTCGACATTGATTTTTTTAGTTAATTTTTTTGTATTGAAACTTTTTTAACCTCATTTGGTTCGCCTATTTTAGTTTTTTTGACTTTTATGAGAGAAAAAATATAATGATTATAGTTTGAATGTAATATTTTATCTTATTAGCTTATGTAGACAATTTTGTCTTTTTGTGTTTTTTTAACCAAAAATCAAATGCCAAACAAGCTTTTAATCAATTTTAAGTAATTTTCCTTCCTATTCAAATCTATTTTATCTTCTTCCCTAAATTTTAATTATTTTCTCTTCTTCTTCCTCCTCACTCAAAAACTCCAATTCATCCTACTAAAACTCACCATTATCATCAATATTTTTTATTATAATATTACTTGCAAATAGGGAAAAAAATTTAACAAAATCAAATAATAGATAAGAATAATAATCAAAATAGTTTTTTGAAACAACCCATCAAAGAGAGAGTAACTATTCACATAAATATTAAAATACAATTATTGATTTCTGTGTTTTTTTTACATAAAAATGAATATTCAACCTGTTTTTCTTTATTATTGTTCAAACTTTTATAACCAAATAATTTCACTTTGTTCGGTTATAAAAATTCAAACAATAATGACAAAAAACAAGTTGAATATTCGCCTTTCTCCTTCTCCTTCGCTAGTACCCTGATCTCTATTCCATGTATGTACGTAACTCAAAAAAAAAAATCAAAAGTAAATATATATATATTTTTTAATTTGTTTTATTTGGGCATACCTAAAAGGGTAATTTAAAAAAAATTAAAATATGCTAAGAATAAATTATAACAATAAATAATTTAAAAGAGTACTAAAAAATTGAACTTAAATATTTTCTAAAATGTAAATAGATTCCCCCACTTTGCAAATCTACACACTCCGAATATGCATTTTAAATTTTGTGTTGACACGCAATCAAGCCCAAAAAATAATAATAATAAAATAAAAATAAATAAAAAATAAAAAATTGTTATCATATATCTTAGGATATTGATATATTCAGTGCCGTGAATGATGTAATGTAAAAAATAATTTGAAAACATGTTAAATATTAAAAATTTGTGATTGAATTGAAGTATTATATAAGTACTATCACATGACATTTTGAATTTTTTAGAATAATTACCATTTAAAATCATAATAATAAATGATATGTATAAAAAACATTGTTTTACAATTTTGTTATGAACGTTGAAACCAAATACAAAATAAAACATAGAATACAAATAAATAGATAAAATTTTACACAAATTTTTTAACGGGACTCACTTTTGAAAATTTGTATCCATCTATTATTAATATTTTGCAAGCGGTTATGTGACTCACCTCTATGCCTAGACTTGTTCAAAATTTAATGGTAGTTAAATGCAAAAATGATTTCCTCAACAAATTCCAAACAAAAGGGCACTAAACTATTCACAATTTTTCTCCTAGTATTTTCCATGTCGGTTGCCATGAAGGTGCATTAACCTAAAATAAAAGAGAAACATTAGTTAATTATTTGGGGTTAGTCATTACATAAAATTGAGTCACCTAAGACACCCACACCCAAAATGAAGCCTGTCTTTGAATAGGCTTCTCTCTCTCATCAAACATACACTGAGGTGGGCCTTTCAATTGGGCTTTTCAAATATAAATACACATACAAACTCACACATTGTATATATAAAAATAAAGGTATGAAGAGAACCTATCTCTTAACCTAATTACACATATATACACATTGATATATTTCTTTTAATAACTTGGCTTCACAAACCCAAACTTTCTACACACATGCTCTTTGAAATTTTTAACTAAAAATTAACATAAATTTTAAAAAATTTAACAGTGTTATATGACAATAATATTTTTAAAATTTTAAGTTAACAAGATAAATTATTTGTTTTAAAGTGATAAAATTAAATTTTGTTCTATTATTTTATAATTTTTTTTTGTTTGTACACGTAACACTACTAATTAAAAAATCATTTTGACAAACTATCCAAGGTATCATTTTGTTGATTTTTTTTTTTTGACGCAAGATATCATTTTGTTGAATTTTTTTTTTTTTTGGTGAGTCATTACAGAAAATTGACAAAAGGCACACCCACACCCCCACCTCTCTACAAGTTACACCAACACCAACACCAACACCAACACCAACACCAAGGTGTTCAATTCAAACACTGACTATGGTAAGCCTTTCAACTGGGCTTCACACACACACACACACACTCAGATAGGCCTCATAATATACATTGATATATTTCTTCACACACACACGGGCTCTTTTAACCAGCATTGTATTAACACAGCAATCAAGCCCAAGAAAAGCATATATATATCCCAATGTTTCTCTCTTAAGAACCACCACCATGGCAGAACACAATACACCATACCAATTGAAAGAGAGCCAGAGAGAGAAAACTAAGAAAGAGGAGCCAACCAGCTAGCGTAATTCTGGCACCGAAGACATCAGTGAAGGAGAAGATGGTGCAAACCATAGCTTCTACCATTAAGAAGTCCAAAGATAAAAAGAAAATAAATCCTAATTAGTGGTTCAAATTAAGAAGGGAAAATACTATAGACCCCAAATGATTTATCAAATTTTATACCAAACTTCTCACATGGGTGTAGAACCCACACAAAACTATGTATGTGTGAATTTCATACCCATGTGAAAGGTCTGGTCAAAAATTTAGTAAATTATTTAAAGTCTCTAACATAACCCATTAAGACCACGATAGTTTAAATTATGTAACCAATCACTCTAGGACTTAGGCGATGTGAGTGGTTGATAATATGGTATATTTGATCAATAAATAAAATATGTCTCTCCATAGTTCATTTGTACCTAAATGTTTATCATTTCTATTATATAGAGCATAGATTTTATTTAATGTGATTGATATTATTTTCTTTTTCTTTTTCTTTAAGAATGACCTTCACATTTAATAGCTGCCACATTCAACAACTGCTAACTGAATAATTTTTTTTTTTTTTTAAATTTATCAAACTGTTCAAAAATTTAAATTTCAGACTTACACCCATTTTTTTTGTATAATGTGTTTGTCTTACATCAATAAATTTATCTTTGTTGATCAAACAAAAATAATACTCCAGTAGACATGCAACTCTAACCGTTTGAATTACAGGGTTTGGCGATTAAAAAAAAAATGAAGTAAAAAATCTCTCATCAATTATTTGGATGATTACAATGATAAAAGGATAAAAAAAATAAAAATAAAATAAAAAATGGTAAGAGCGCACAAAATAAATAAATAAATAAATAATAAAAAATAATTGATTTAAGAGTTTAGACTACGCCCAAATTTTGAATTTGACCCTCATATTTGGGACAACGAGCCCCGTTTTGTAAAGTCATCTATGTATATTATCCATGAAAAAAATTAAATCTATTTAATAATCGTAACTTTTTTAATTTATCACATTTGTCGTCAAAAAAATGAATAAACATATTTTTAAAAATAAACTATTCAGTTTTATATTTTTTTCTCTCTCTTTTTTTATTTTTTATTTTTATTTCGTGGTAATGACACAAAGAAATAATCATCTCCACATTTTCCAAAAATAAAAGGCCATAAGGTAAGTATCACAATTTTTCTCTTTGCATATTCCATGTTGGTTGCCATGAAGGTGCATTAACCTAAAATAAAAGAGCAATAATAATCAGAAGCCATTAACCAATGTGTGCCACTTTCAATTGACACTATATAAATTAAAATTTGATGTTGGTAAGGCACGCAAGGTTTCACTTTCTTGAATTAAGCTATTTATTTATATTCAGTTAAGTATTATATAAATAAAAATATATTATATATAAAAATAATATAAAATGATATAAAAGTTTTAATTCTATTCTGTAAAGTAAAAGATTGATTAAGATAGTTCAGATTTTTAAAAGTATAACATTCTCATTATCAATTCTATATAAGAATTCCATAAAATTTTCATTTTTCTTATTTAAAATTGAGTCAACTAAAACACCCACACCCCATGGAACATCCCCCACACCTCACACACCCCAACTACACCCTCCCACAGAAGTGGGATTTTCAACTGGGCTTTTCACTCAATAAACAATAAAAATAACTGGGCTTTCGACACGTACACACAGGGTCTTCGTGGGCTTCTTCGGAAAAAATTTGCAAAAATAAAGTTACATAGATAACACATTTATTTCATTTTCGTATCATGAAAGTAATGGTAAATATTTTAATTGAAACTTAAATGATTATAAGAAGCCATATCAGTCTATATAAAATTCTGTATCACAATTCTAGTTATATATTATTACCTTTAAAGTGATAAAATCAAAATTCATCACATTATTCTATATTAATTTTGAGATGAAATTTGTCTCCAATCCATTTTTTGGATTAGAGTATCCAGTTTGCATGAATGTGGTCGTTTATTTTTTTAGAAGAGAAATATGATCTAATTAGGTCTTATCAATATCTGATCAAGTTGATTTATATATATATATATATAAATTGCTTCGCGTACTCTACAAAACTAAATGGTTCAAATAATTAAAATAAAGTCATACCAGTCTATATAAAATTCTGTATTACAATTCTAGTTATATATTATTACCTTTAAAGTGATAAAATCAAAATTCATCACATCATTCTGTATTAATTTTGAGATGAAATTTGTCTCCAACCCATTTTTTGGATTAGAGTATCCAATTTGCATGAATGTGGTCATTTATTTTTTTAGAAGAGAAATATGATCTAATTAGGTACTAATCAATATCTGATAAAGTTGATTTATATATATATATATATATATGTGGGCTGCGGCAGGGTGATCCTTTATCTCCTCTGTTGTTTATTTTGGTTATGGAGGCTTTGTGGCGTTTGTTGGCAAGGGCGGTGCAAGCAGGTTTGCTGAATGGATTTGAGGTAGGAGTGGCTCCCGGGAATGTTGTGGTGTCTCATTTGTTTTATGCAGATGATGCGCTTATTTTCTGTGATGCGAATGAGGCCCAAATTGGACATTTGAGATGCGTGTTGTTGTGTTTTGAGGCAGTGTCCCGGCTTCGGGTTAATCTAGCAAAATCAGAATTGATTCCAGTGGGGCAAGTGGCGAGGTCTTCGGTGTTGGCAACCATGTTGGGGTGCAAAGTGGTATCGTTACCTGTTACATATTTGGGTTTGCCTTTGGAGGCTTCCTTTAAAGCGACAGGGATTTGGAAAGGAGTGGTGGATCGGGTGCGTCGTTGGTTGGCAGGATGGCAACGTCAGTATTTGTCGAAGGGTGGGCAGCTTACATTGATTAAAAGTGTTCTGTCAAGTATCCCAACCTATTTTATGTCTGTTCATGTGATCCCGGTCTCTGTAGCAAGGCAAATTGAGAAATTGCAAAGGGACTTTTTGTGCGGTGATGGGGTGAGGGTGGTCATTACCATTTGGTGTCTTGGGATCGGATCTGTAGGTCTAAGGAGCAAGGGGGTTTGGGGGTTCGAAGGTTAGTCTTGTTTAATTTGGCCTTGTTAGAGAAGTGGTTGTGGCGTTTTGTGGAGGAGAGGGCGCGTCTTTGGAGGCGGGTGGTGGTTGCTAAGTTTGGTGTGGTTAGAGGGATGTGGTGCTCGGGACGGGTGGGTCACTCTCACGGTTGCGGGTTATGGAAAGGGATTTAGTTGGGTCGGGAAGCGTTCTGGCGACATGTGAGGTTCAAAATTGGTGTAGGGGATAGACTTCGATTTTGGCGGGATAGGTGGTGTGGTGACTTCTCTTTAGAGTTTCGCTTTCCTTTGATATTTGCTATTGCTGCGAATTCTGAGGTGTTGGTTAGTGCTGTGAGGGTTAGGGAGGGGCAGTTGAGGGTGTGGAATGTGCAATTGCGTCGTCATGTCCAAGACTGGGAGCTAGATCAATTAGTAAACCTCCTTGGTTTTTTATATGGTTTACATCTTGGACAAACGGATAATGATGCTTTGGTTTGGGTTTGTCCTAGGGCCAAAGGTATTTTCACGGTGTCTTCGTTCTATGAGGCGCTTGTTGGGGATAAGTGTGTTGTTGATGGCTCTTTCGTCTATCCGTGGAAGAGTGTTTGGGTGCCGGGCACGCCATCCAAGGTTGCCTTCTTTGTGTGGACGACGAGTTTGGGTCGTATTTTGACTATTGATAATTTGATTCGTCGTGGACATATTTTGGTGAATTGGTGTTGTTTGTGCGGTCAGGTTGCGAAATCGGTTGACCATTTGCTTATTCATTGTTCGATCTCTTCTCGTCTTTGGAAGCTTGTGGTGACAATGTTTGGGTTGGTCTGGGTTCCACCGGGGTCTTTGTTTGCAGTTTTGCAGAGTTAGGTCGGGAGGAGGGTGAGGAAGAGGCGTCGAAAGGCTTGGATTCTTGCATTGCACTATTTACTTTGGCTGATTTGGTTGGAGCGAAATAGACGGTGTTTCATGGGGTCGCTCATTCCATCACTTGGTTAGAGAGGCGTCTTCTTTCTGTTCCGTATAGTTGGGTGACAGGATTAGTAGATCCAGATGTATTGACTTTTACAGATTTTGTGGAGAATTTGATTTGTTAGTTTCATTGGGCTTTTGTGGCCGGTTTTTGTATTCTTTGCATCTTCTTCAAGCTTCTTAATAAAGTTTGGTTATTTATCCCAAAAAAAAAAAAAAATTGATTTATATAATATATATATATATAAATTGCTTCGCGCACTCTACAAAACTAAATGGTTCAAATAATTAAAATACACCGAAAATCATATAAACTAGACCTTTCAATCCAAAAAAAATGAACTGGATGCAAGCTTAGATTTTAATTTTTCTACTTGTCTAACAATACACATTAGTAATTCATGTACAAGGTCGTCAGGTCTAATTTTCTTGAGTTTAGTTATTTGTTTATGGTGAGAGATTATATTATATTATATTATCTATCTATCTATACTATTTATAAAGCAAGCACGGCTCTTGCATTGATGTCGTGTATCATAACTGCTTTCAAGAATGGACCCAGAGAGGGGCAAGAGGGGGTGATCGTCCCCCTACGATTTCGAAAACACCATTTATTATTATAGTATTAACTACAATTATTTACATATTATAGAAATCACTCTATATGATTTAAACTACCATTTGTTCTTTTACATCTCATTACTTCAAAGCATTAAATAACTATTATATTATAAAATTCAATTTATTTCAATAACTTGTCATATGGCCAAGTTTGGCATACCTCAAATAATCCATCTTTTTATCTTTTTATTTTTTTCCATCACACCACCTCTCTACTTTTCTGCACATCTTTTAGTAAAAAGACAAAAAGTGCACTTATTTAGGTCATCCCAAACAATCCCATAGTGTGTGTACCCGTCTCTAATATATATACATACAGTAATATATAAAACAAACAACTTTTTTGGTGTAGATATTAGGATTTTTAGTTTATCCAAAATATCTTCCCATAATTGTCTCCTGTAATTGACAAAATTCATATTCAAATCAAAAAATTTATTTTATAGTTATAACAGCTCAATCATCCGGATTTGGATTGACTGAGCACAGAAGCCACTGTTGTGCAGCCAAATGGGCACAGTAGCCACTGCTATGCAGCCACATAAGCCCATTTCAAGGCTACTTTCGATAATTTAAACCGTTCACATTTTAGAATACATCGAGTATAACATACCTACAAAACATAAAGTTAATCTGATATCGTTAACCCATTCATCCACTTACATTTGTATCTACAAAAATAAATAACAATTGTGATTTAAAATATTGAAATGAATAGAAATGTGAGTGAATAAAATGATTAACGATATCCGATTATCTTAATTTTTTATAGATATGTTTTACTCAATATATTCTAAAATGTAAATGTTCGGACCATCAAAATAAATATCAAAATAGGTCCATTTGGCTGCACAGCAGCCACCCCATATCTGGTGGGAACACACCACTAGTATTATATAGAGTCTAGACCTAAGTTGGTGTAGACTATTAGGCTATTTAGGCCAAGTTTGGGATACTTAAAAAAAGTCAAAAAATCAAAAAATTAAAAAGTTAACACTATTCACCAAACGTCAACAATTACGGCTGCACAACTCTCAATCCTAATTTTCTTCTACAAACCAATTTTTATAATTTTTTATTACACATTTTTTTATAAAAAGTCAAAAAATTAACCCCAACATCCATATTTTTTCCCTCAAGACACTCCAAACAACCCCTTACTCTTTCCAAAATACTCCTTAAGTTGCTCTAAATTACTTTAATTATGTTAAATCTGACATTTTTAAATAATTGTCATAATTATCAAACCCAATAAAGTGGGCCTCCAATAACCGAAAATTTTGAATCACTTAAGACGCCGGCACCCACATCCAGAGCGAGGTGAGCCTTTCAAATGCACACTGAGGTGGGCTTTTTAACTGGGCTTGTCAAAACACACTCACAGACGATACAGTTGATAAATAAATAGTTTAAGGATTAAATTTTTTTATTTTCAAAAATAATAAATTTGTTACAAAAAAAAAATATTTGGCAATCCATCCTTATTGTTGCAAGAATATATATTTATTAATAGACTGTTTAAAAAAAAAAAAAACTTTTAAAACATCTTTAATGATTGTCATCGGAATTATTAAAGTAATAATAAAACAGCTTTGGATAAAAAGGAATTCTCCATGTAGGCTTATTTTGGGAAGTAAAAAAACAATTATTTTTTTATAAAAATTAAATAAATAAACAGGTGATATGTGCAAACAAATCAATAAGCTAATAAATTAATTTTTTTTCTAGGCCGCCAAATTTGACAAATACTAAATCTATCGATCCTCTCCAGCATGCCTCTCTGGCCATTCCTCTGGGTGACGGTTCAAATTGGGCCACGTCACCCCTAAAGAAATTTGCAGCTTGGATTAATTAAAAAAAAAATCAAAATTCAGGAAACAAAACAGAGGCCAAAACGTGAAAGAGACAACAGAATTTCCCTCCCATATCTTTCCATCCACTTCTTCCCTCCCTCTTTGAGTTCTTCACCAACGATGACTCCATCGAGTGAAATCAACGGCGACCATCGACGACTCCTTCTCGATCTCTCATTCTCTCCCTCTATCTGTCTCCCTCTCCCTCAGCACATCATCTTTACTTCGAAGATTTGCACCGCGAACCAAAGCTCCGGCGACCGCGAACCACCGCGAACTGATCTGCACTGCTTAGTTCGGTATTTAAGATTTTTCATGTTTGCATCAAGCCCTACTGATATACCCAAACCATTTTCCAGTTGTTTTCCCCCAAATTCTTCACAATTTCAAAAGTTGAACCTAAGAATTCCATGGTGTGGTCACTTCGGTTCTTCCAAATATCAACTATGATGCAAAAACCCCGTGGTATTGAAAACCAATATACCAGCTCAATAAAAATTACCAGCAAAACCCAGATGTTTTCATCTACTGCAACAAACATGTGCTTACATTTGCCTAAAAAAAATTGGTGGCAAACAAGGCACTAACCTTACCACCAGGTACAACTGGTGTAAGAGTAGATGGAAGGATTTGAGTCTGAAGCAACACTAAATATAAAAATTCAAAGGCAAAGTAGATCGAACTCCCAATCAAAACACCAAAAATTCTATTTTTTTAAAAAAATAAATGCCAACAAAACTTCAAAACAGATACTTGAATAATAAATAATAATAATAAATTGGATAACGATGGTCGCCGGGGAAGCATGGAGCGTTTCCTCCCCTTCTCTCCCTTTCTCTGCTTTTTGTTTGTTGTCTCTTTCACGCTTTGGCCATTGTTTTTCTTTCTGAATTTTGATTTCTTTTTTAATTAATCTGAGCCGCAGATTTCTTTTAGGGGTGACGTGGCCCAATATGGGCCGTCACCCGGAGGAAAGGCTGGAGAGGCAAGCTGGAGAGGATCCGGACTCAAATCTATCAGCTCCCTCAAAACCAGGTGTTTTCCTCCCTTGCTTTCTTCCCTCCCTCCCTTTCTCATCTTTTCCCAAAAAAACTGTGTATAACAGATCAATTTTTTTAAAAACAAAATTCACAGAAAAAATTTCCTGCAGAATTCACCAAATAGAATTGGCAATTGCCATTTTTATTAAAAAAACAAAATTCACCAATTTTGTTTCAACAGAATCAGACCAAAGCAGCAACAACAACAATAATCAAGCAATTTTATACAAATTTGAAGCAATCCCAAACAAATTTCAAGCAATCTCAACAAATTTCAATAAGAGTTATGCTAAGGACCCAAGTAATCTACCAAACCTCTCACATGGCGTGCGACTCACATTCATGCGGGTTTGTGTGGGTCCACACTCATGTGAGAGGTTTGGCAGATTATTTGGGTCCATAGCATTTTCTTTTCAATAAATCTGAAGCGAATATTAAACAAAAAATACCTGGATTTGAAGATGGTTGATGGATTTCAGACGATTTTAGTACTCTAAAGCTTCGACTTCATCTTCTTGGTCTTCACCTTCTTCAGAAAGCCGATTTGGATGAGTGATGGTTGATGGGGTTTCAAGGGTTTCATCTTCTTCCTGAAATGATTTCAAGGGTTAGGGTTAGGGTTAGGGTTAGTGTTAGAGGGAGAAAGAACAGAGGGTTGGACAAGATGAAACCGAAGAGGGCTTTGTGATGCTCATTGAAGATTAGGGTTTTCATCTTCAATATAGAACACACCATCGGTGAGGGAAAAGAAACGAAGAAGAAGGGGAGAGAGAGAGAGAGAGAGGGAGAATGAAGGGGATGGGTGAGAGCGAGAGAAGCTTCTAGATGGAGAGCAGAAATGAGAGTGAGAGAACAAATGGGTGAGAATCAAACTGCATTTCGTAAAGTTTTATAAATATGATTTGAGGGTATAAATTATATTTTAAGTTTGTGAGTTATGTAATTATGATTTAAATGTAAAAATTTTGTTTGGTTATAAATTTTTAAAAGAGTGTTGAATTGAGTTTTGAACTGAGTGTGGAATTGAGTTTTGAAAGTTTGATTTGATATATGAAGTAAGAAAATTTATTTGGTTATGAGTTTTGGAAAGAATTTTCAAAACTTAATACAAATTGTTATAACTCATAACAAAACACACTACTTTCACACTATTGAAATTTTTTATTAACACTCATAACCAAACTCTTTTTAAAATTTAATTAAAAAAATATTATTATTAACAGAAAATAACATTAATCAATTTTTTAATTGAAAATATTACAAAGAAAATAATTTTTTTTCAAAATAAACATTCAAAAAATTTAAATCATAAATATTTAAATAATTTAAATAATCTGAAAAATTTAATAAGTAAAAAATTAAAATAAATATTCAAAAAATTAAACTCTTAAAATTTTAAATAATTTAAATATTCAAAAAATTTAAATAATTTAAAATATTAATATTTTAAATTTAAAAGTAACTCTACACTCAAATCGTAACCAAACACATAAAACAAAAGTCAATTATAGCAACCACTTTCTCTCTCTCTCTCTCTCTCTCTCTCTCTCTCTGTCTCTCTCGCGCGCGCGCGCGTGCTCATCACTCTATCTCTGTCTCTGTCTCTATCTCTCTTCTTTATTTGTCTCTCACAAAATTAAAATATTTTTAAAATATTTAAATATTTAAAATATTTAAAATATTGATTTGAATTAAGTTTTGAAAAGAGTTTTGAATTATGTGTTTGGTTATGAGTTTTGAAAAATAATGATTATGTTTTGAATTGAATTTTAAAAAATAGATGTAGAATTATGATTTGAAAACTCCAACCAAACAAGATACTCAAGTCAATGGGTGAAATTATAATTCGAAACTCTTACCAAACGGAGCCAAAATGATGGTGAGAGAAGAAATCACCTTAATTTCAATTTTTTGAATTCAATTTTTTGCAAATTGAATTTTTTATTTTTTATATATATTTTTTATTTTTAGTGGATATTTTTAAATTTTTAAGTAATTTTTTATTTTTTGAGATGTATCTTATTTAGGCTTGGTTCGGAAAGTAAGTTAGTTTTTTTATTTTTTATTTTTTTTTTGTTATTTAAGCTTGGGACTAAAAAATCTGGTTTTTGAAAGACTTTTGACTTTTTTGATTTTTTTGTGAGAGAAAAAATGTAATGATTATGAACTGGATATGATATTTTGTCTTATTGGGCCTAAAAAGTCTATTTTGTTTTTTTTTTTTTTTGGCTTTTTTTGTTTCAAACCCACCCAAACTCACTTCCCAAACAATGCCTTAGATGTATCTAAATAGTAAATTATTTATGAAAAAATATTTTAAAAAATTAATAAATATACAAAAATAAGAAAAATGTACAGAATTTTCATTTTTTTTTGTATTTTTAATATTTAGTGAATTTTTAAAATATTTTTTTTCACAAATATTATATTTTCTAAATGTATATATATTATAAGTGTCTAAAAATTAAAAAAAAAATTGTTTAAAATATTATAAATAAAAATCAGTAAAAATTAAAAAATATGGAAATCGGAAAAATATAAATTTTGAAAAATAAATTTTGAAAATTGAAAACAGAGTGAATGGTTTTGATCCCAAAAAGAAATAATAAAAAAAATGTAATGGTTAATTTGAGCTGTTGGATCAGATCATCCATCCGTTTTCAAGAGGTGATAAAAGACCACAAAAAAACAAAAAAAAACAAAAAAATTATTCAAAAAATTAGATTCATACACCACCAGAAAAAAAATGGGAGAGAAAGTTGGTTAAAATTGTGTCAAAAAAAACATACTATATTGTTTTAATTTACTATTGTTACAATTTGATAATTTATTATTATAATATGTCAAACGGTGGTGTTAGATACCACTAATTTAGTGGTTTTAAACTCACCACTAATGAGATGGCAAAAAAAAAAACAAACAAACAAACTAACTGTAGCACATCACTAATGGTAGCTCTAATTAGAACTCTCACTCATTTTTCTTGTAATAAATATATTTTTATAGACAAAAGAATGGAAAATGAGTGGGAGCCCTAATTAGAGCTATCACTAATGATGTGGCAGTGGGTCCCACCCACTGCCACAGTATGTGCTTTTTTTTTTTTTTTTTTTTTTCACCTCATTAGAGTATCTCCAACTCACTAGGTATATAATGCTTGTTAGTCAAAATGCCTAACATGACTCAATTTTTTCAACTCCAATGCACTAGGCATATGATTAGGCATTTTAGCTCAACTCATATTCACTAGTTACATGTAACTAGCTTTCAAGGCTAGGCAAAATGTATTTAATCATTAGGATTATTTCTCTCCATCTTTGTTGCTGATGTGGTATTCTATAAAGTTAATAGTATTTGGATAAATAGCTAAAATACAGAGTATGGTTGGAGTAGAAACATGAAACACTTAATAGGCAAAGTAAAATATATATTTTATAGTAATATTTAGATAGGTAAAATGCCTAATACCGTTGAAGATGCTCTTAGTGATGGGTTTAGAGTCACTAAATTAGTGGTCTCTAGCACCACTGCAAAAGAATTTGGTCTTTATTTTTGGGAATCACTATTCACATTTTTACTTTATTTTAAATATATTATTTTTTTTTATTCTTATTATACATAGTTTAATTAATACCCTTTTGACTTTTGCACATATACCTCAATTGCCCTTTATTAAAGGGTATTAATGTATTTTTATTCTTATTATACGTAGTTTAATTAATATATTTGAGATTTTAACTTTTTTGAAGAGCGTATTTTGAATGAAAAAATATTAATATAACCATATATATAATAAAGACAAATAATTGAATGCATTTGTAACAAAATAAAATAAGAATATCGACTTCTTTATTTTTTAAGACAAAAAGTACTAAAAATAAAATACAAACTTTTGATTTTAAACTTAATTTTTTGTATTTAAAATTTTAATTTATTATAGTGCTTTCTCATACACAAAGGTGTGCTTGGTCACACACTCATACACAGGATTTTCTACTGTTTGATTAGAAAATTTGAAAAAAAAAATTAAAAAATAAAAGAAAATTATATATGAAACTATCGTATGGCTGTTCGTGTGTTAACATCCAAAAAAAACAAAAACAAAAACAAAATTCCCCCCTATAAATACCCCCATGTTTCCCTCTTGAGAAAGCACAAAAACACACAACAGCCAACACACAATTCATATATATATAGAGAGAGAGAAAGAGAGCTGAAAGAGATGGCAGAAAAGGGTAAGAGCAATGGAAGGGCTGGAGCTAAGAACCAGCAACCAACTAGCGTGATTCCACCTCCGAAGACAACGGTGAAGGAGAAGATGGGGCAATTTGTAGCTTCCTCCATTCAGAAGACCAAAGATATCAACAAGATCAATCCTAGTTCTTCAAATTAACCAGATAAAAAGTTCATCACCATCTCCATGAATTTGCATAGTTAATATATATATATAGAGAGAGAGAGAGAGCCAATCACTCTAGCAACTAGAGATATAATTGGTTGGTAATGGTATATTTGTAAGCACTCTCCATTATAAATAAATGAAGTTTCCTTTCCTTTTCTATATGGTTCAGTTTATTCGATCAAAAAAGAAAATATATGGTTCAGTTTGTAATTTTAAATAACAATATCATAATATACTTATGTATATCTATATCAACCATATAGTTAAATTTCAATCAATATATTGATGAATATAGATAGTTATATGTGTTGACTTTCCCTTGTACCCATCTTCATCGCCACCTCACCTAGCGTTACCAGAAAATCTGCCAGGGAAATGTCAAGTGCGATTGGACCAAACTGTCTGCTTTCATAATACCTCTAAACTGTAAATGACGTCACTTAACCAATGATGTGCTCATGTTTGGTGAGGTTGGGGTTATTTTTTAATCTTATGTTAAAAGTTATCGCATTTAAATCATAATTATTATATTTAAAAAAAAAAAAAAAAAAAATTCATCCCAAACGATAACAAAAAATCAACTTGAATCCCGAATAAACCCAAAATATGACGTAATATATCTACAACATATGTATAAAGTCCCATGAAACAATAAACAAAAATGCTTGAGAGTACTAAATTTGGAATACTAGAGGAGCTCTAATGAGCTGGCCCGCTCTCATGATGTGATGGTTGAGCCTGTATTTTTTTTTTTTTTTTTAGTGAATTTCCAGCTTATCAGAGCTGATTAGTGTTTTATTTTTTAGAGCTATCAACAATAAAACAGTACACAGGTTTTGTATCATCAACTATTAATTAGTAGGAGAGTAAACATGGGCATCTAATGTTGACTAGTTAAACCATGTAAAATTATTTGATTGTTACATTAAATATGAATCTCGATACTCTTAAATTATTTTATAAGACCATCCAAGCAGAATAATAGTACAAAAAATTTAGTTGATCGAACAATTATAATCATGTAATTAGTTTACATTATGTTTAATAAAGAGAGAAAAAAAAAAAAGGAAAAAGAGAGAGGCTATTCTCAACATTATTTACTTGTTATTTATTTATTTTGAAGACAAATCTAATTTGATATTTTAGATGCGATTATTCGATTAATTTGGCTTTTTGTGTGAATGATTTTCTTAAAAAATTTTACAAAATAAACGGTTCAGATTATCAAGATAGAATCATGATTGCCCCCATAAAGTTCAACTGTATCCTCCAATTAAGCTTAACCTTAAACAATGATGAGCTCATGTTTGGTGAGGTTGGGGTTATTTTTTACAGTGGTGATAGATCTCACTAAAAATGGACCACTAAGCCAGTTCTAATGAGCTGGCAGTCTAGAAAATAAAAAAAAAAAAACAAAAACAAAGAGCAAAACATCAAATCAATTAGGGGCACAGTGTTTTTAGAGCTATTAGAGCTCATTATTTTAGTGGTCTCAAGCAATTTTCTATTTTTTAACCTTATGTTAAAAGTTATCACATTTAAATAATAATTATTATATTTTTTAAAAAAAAAATATAAAAAAAAAATTTATCTCAAACGATA